GAACATAGAGGTCGGAATGGAGGAAAAAGTGGAGCCTGTAAAAGTGGAAATTGGACTGGAAATGATTCAAGAGGAAGATTTGGATTTTTCTTTATGGAAGGAGGGAGAAGTGGAAGAAATAGTTGCAAAAGCGGAAACTGGATCGGAAACAACTAAAGAAAATTTACAAGGATACAGAGAAGAGGCAGTGATGGACTTAACTGTGGCTTTGGGATGCAATTTTAAAGAAATACTTATAGAAATGGAAAATTATGGTATTGCATTTCAGGGGAAGCAGTTGGGGGATATTATTGCTTATTTCTAAAGAGTATCTTGTAATGAAATTATACAGGTTTTTTTTGTTTAAGATATCAAGGGATTAATTTTAAAGAATTCTTGGAGGAGGAAATGGGGTATATCGGTGGAATTGTGGAATTATATATATGGAAAATTATAGTATTGTATATCAAGGGAAGCAGTGGAGATACATTATTGTTTATTATCTTGTAATGAAATTACATAGGGTTTTGTTTAGAGAAAAAAAATCAATAATGATGGTTTAGATTAATAAAACTAATATATCCTTTTTTCTTATTATCTTAAAAGATCATAAATATTTGATTATGGCATTAATTGTAGGGGTGATGGTATATTATAGATAATTGTAGGGGCGATGGAATGTATTATATACAATTAATAAACTGAAGATATGGCAAAGTTTCTTGTATGATTAAGGGATTGGTGAGGATGGATCGGCTATATTTAAGATAGATTATACTAGCTTATATTTGATTTTTTTTATGAGTTAAAGTATGTTTATATTAGATTAGTTTATATTGGGTAGTCTTATATAGATTTGGGAAGACGCATGTTTAATCCTGTAATCAGTTCTGGGAAGTCTGGGGGGGTTAGGGGGGACGGGGGTGGGAGGGAGTATAGAAATAGAGTTAATAGTATAGACTTAAGGGGGAAGTAGGATACATTAAAATAATAATAGATTACTCATATGAATAACTGAATTAATTATATTGAAATAATTTGAATTGTATAAGTATGATTTTGTTTTGATTAATTGATGGCCTTGCCACCATGTTAAATAAAAACCAATAAAAATTTTGTTGGAAAAAAAAACATAGTTGAGGGCTATAAGGGCCATGGACAATAATGTAAGGCTGTACTGTGGAAAAGGTTTGTCTTCCTTCCCCTTTTTTCAGTTTGAACAAGTTTTGGGTCCACAATTAGTATGTATTTTGTATCTGAAACATGAAATAGGAATATGAACAGTTTGACACCAAATTTTAGCAGCATGATGACCAATGGGGCCAAAAGCACGGGGTTCAGGAGCCCCACATTCACTGAGTCACACCCCCCAATCTACTGTTTTTAAAGAAATCTTAAGGCAAAGAATACTATGAGCTATTACATCTGAATTCAGATCTGTCAACTCTTTCCAAGATGATGTTTATTGTAGTGATTTGTAAGAAGACTGGTTTGGGGGAGAGATTTTAAACATAATGATCCTAAATCATCCTTCCTGCATATAATATCCTCCTCGGCATTATTTGACAGAAAGCAAAAGATGCCAAGAATAATTTTAGCTATTGTGATGATCAGCTCTGTCTAAAGATACTCTGAATGTATCTACATGACATTATACCTTAGGATAGGAGGGGACATCCCTTCGGGGTATCAGCTTTTTGTTTTCATCCAGGAAACTGTATTTACAAGGGCAGTTGGTCCTGTGTAGAAAACAAAATCCAACACTCAGTATCTAAAGAAAACTTTTAAACTTTTCATTTAAACTCATAGGACACAATCAAAATGTTATTGGCTCTAAAGGTTAACTCCTGGAAAATTAATTTCCCCCTTTTCACAGCAAACAAACCAAACTGCTTTCCTCTGAATATCCCAAGAGATTTGTAAAGAAATGTAGCATTTGAAGATGTGTTTGCCAAACATGAAAGTGCATTTTAAGTATTTAGAAAAAAAACCCCAAAAGATATGCTGCAGGTGCAGGAACCTTTATTTATTTGAAGAAAACTTCTAAACATGCAGGTTACATTCAACAATCCTTATTCCCTACTTAGATGTATTTAGGATTATTATGCTAAAACATTTATTTCCTTATGTGGGGCACATTTTATACTATCCAACACCTGTAAATATTAACTGTGTGAGTTGAAATCCAATTCATACTTTTCAAGATGTAGAAATCTTTTCTCACACAATGTCAGTATCAGCAATATAATACTGAAGGATGTATACAAAGTGATGGCTCTTGATTAGAACTATGTACCAGTTTTTTAATTCATGAAAAAGGAACAACTGCAATCTTACAGAACCTTTCCTGCTAAATAGATAAACAAGACTGAATCTACCAAAATAGAAACAGAAAGTAGGAATAAACGCCTTGAAGATAAAGTTCTGTGTTATGCCCTTCCCAATTTTTCTTAAGCTATCCTTCTCAAAGATGGATGAGAACATTGTCCCGTTGTAAAACAGAAAGAAGATTTAAATTGGTTTTTATCTGGGTTCCATCTTGCCTTTTTCCCCAGTGGCAAAATACTTCAGTTTGATGTAACATATATGCCATGAATCACATTCAGCCATGGTGTAAAATAAAACCTAGTTCCATTTTTCTACTTCTTATTACAGTACAGTGGCATAATGATTGAGTTGCTAAACTAGGACTAAGATACCTGAATTCAATCCACCCTTAGCTGCAGAAACTCATTAGGTGACTTTGGGCCAATCTCAGCTGCCAATATCTCTCACAGGATTATTGTGGAAAAAACTCTATGAGGGAATACTGTTTATATTGCATTGAGCTCCAGAATGAAAGGCCAGATAGAAATCAGATGAAAGACAGACAGACAGATAGAAATCCTGATTTTATTCAAAAGGTGAATAAACTCAATATCTAAATAAGTCTAAATATAAAGAATGGTAAGTGATGCAATAAAAACACTTGCAAAGCTAGTAAGAAAAGGGCATATTCGGTTTCTTCCTTGTACTCTGCCTCTCATATTGCTATGAGGAAAAAAGTATACCACAAACAGCAACAGAAATTAAGTAATGTTGTGCACGTCTTTGGATGGTTGTTAAATTTGCTTGATAAATAGGAACTTCTTTTATCTCTCTTTTTAAATGTGCAGTAGCTGATATGGAGGATTCTACCACAGGACAATCTATTTCATTTGCAAACTAACCTCCTTTAATCCTCAGGTCAATTTGTATTCCTTGGTAGCTGATCACACAGCCATTTGCATCTCAATCATGTCCCAAACTGCAGTGGAGTTTGCATTCTGACTCACTGGGATTCCAGAGAGAGAGAGAGAGAGACTGTATGAATGGATATGGCAGTGAGGCACTGTTGAAAGGACTAATTCTGTCCTTGCTTTTGCCTTTTCCATAGCTAAATGTTGAGAATACTGCCAATAAGCGCCTGCTCTTATCTACTTCCCACTGGCTTCCCATTTGCCATGGAGTTTCCTCTGCACTGTGAAGTAACAAACATCTCCTTCTCTTTCATCAAAAGAGGGGAAAAAAGAAGGGGAGACCATTTATTCCCTATTTTTGTACAGTATGGCACAATCCTGATTGATGTCAGCAGTGTATTATCTCAGTAAATCCTTTTCTGGGTCAAAGGGAATTGGGAGACAAGGGCATGGCAAGTAGTTTGTTTAATTAGAAAAGGACACGCTGCCCATAAACCCAGGAAGGAAGCACACTGGAAGTGAAATCTCCCTGGATTGGGGAACTTCAAAAGTGCTGACAAAGCAGGGAGAGGTGGGTTTGGAGGACTTTATAGCGAGTCACCTATGGAATGCAACTCACTATAGAAGTAGCATATTTCCTACAGCTGGAAGACCTCTAGGTCTGTTGTACACATTGATTATTTTGCTTTTCATCAGATCACTGAGAAATGTATAATTATGGGAAAGGAAATTTATTGTATATTTATTGATTCTGAAGAATTATACGATAGTGAACAGGCCTACATTATAGAATGTTTTGCATAAGCATTGGAGGAGGTTGAGTGAGAATCAAATGTCAACCCTTGTAACCATCCATGCTCTTGGTTTTAATCTTTTATTTGTTTAGTTGTTAATATTAATTTTCATGCTTTTAATATTTTTAGGTCTATGTTTTTATACTACTAAAAACCACCCAGAATCACTTGAGATAGTGAGAGGGGCAGCATATATAAATTCAATAAATAAATAAATAAATAAACATGGAGTTGAAAACTGTGCATAAGAATAAATAGAAAGATTAGTAAATGGTCCAACATTGTGTATGAAGTAAAACAATGAGATGTGATGTTTTTATGGTTCTTAAATAGATTTAGGGATAAGCATATAAAGAAAGTGTGTAAGTATTACAGAGGTCTGTGTATTAGGGATCTGAATGTATTTATGCTTTTGTAAGCAGATGGTGCTTTACTGATGATTGACAACACAAAGATTTTGCAGCAAATGTTATATAGATTGCACAATGCAACAAGAAGTATAGATCTTAAAATAATTGCATCAGAAATCGCTGTAACTATGTTTGACAGAGCAAATAAAAAATAAAATTTATACATAAATAGTAAAAATCAAGAGAAAGGAGATGGATTTCTGTATTTTGATAAAATATTGAAGATGGGAAAATGGATGGAGGAATTTTAATATATGCAAATGCTGGCAGAAAATGCTTGGAAGAAATGCTTCTGAAAAGACCTGAACATGGTTGTGTACAACAGCATGCTTCTGCCCATTTTGTTATTTGTAGATGTGTGTTGGATATCTCAGGAAAAATGTTAAAAAGATGAATGCAGTGAAAGGATCGCTGTACTTAATAAACAGGAGGTAAAACAATAAGATTATCAGGAATGAATGTATGTTAACAAATGTGGCCAGTGCAAAAGTAGTATATTTTGAGGTGAATAAATGAGGATGAAATTGCAAAACAAATATATATGAATGAAGACTGAATGGACCAAGTGGAAGGGAAAGAAGAAGAAATTTTGGTTTGATTGAGTTGATTAAAATTTCAAAAAGTTGTAAAAAGCTAAAAGCACAAACTGCAAAGTATAATTGTGATGTAGTGATGTGGGAGAAGCAAGGATGGTTTTGCAAGGACAAAATGGTATGGAGACATATAGTGGATGGTAATGACATACAGTATGCTATTTTTAGTTACCTTATGCTTCCTTTCCTGTTTCCTTTTTAGTGCCTTCAAATTCTTTTGCTTATTATTTTTTTTACTCCTCATTGGTGCATTGCATAATATTGGTTATCCCAAATGGTAAATATCACTGCAGCAAAGTACCAAGTCATGCTGCTGCAGAAGCATGAAACTCTGTAATATCCCTTTTCAGGACAAAGAGCATATGCATGTCTATATGCACACAGAATTGATTATTTTATGAAATGAATATGGATGATTCATAGCAATGATCTAAGTTTGGTCTGAAGAACCAGGTTCAGATGCTAATACAAAAGCTATGTGTTTAAACTGAGATGGCTGTGGATGCTACCGAATATAACAGGGATCCCCAACTCCCAGTCTGTGGACTGGCACTGGTCTGTGGCATGCCAGCAACTGGACTGCGCAAACAAGCAAAGTCCCAACCGTGGGATGCAGGCAGCACATAAAACCACAACCCCTACAGTTCGTGGAAAAACGTCTCTCCATGGAACTGGTGCCCAAAAGGCTGAGGGCCACTGCTACATAATACAGCTTCTGAAGTTGCATCAAAAGTGCAGTCTTTTCAGGAATGAAGTGTGTGTGCAAGACAGAGGGGAAATATAGCTGATGTATTACAGTGGAAGGAAGAAACAACAGTGAACATAACAGTGTTCAGAAAAGTCTTTTTTGCAAGCTGGAAGTTATGAGTGTTGTCAAAGTGGAGTTTCATGGACAATGTAAAATCAGAAAAGGCACACTATCATGTATCCCAGCAATGAATAAGAAGGAGAGAGCAAAGACAGAGTATTAAAAGGGTTAGCAAACAGGGGCTCTGTGGGTTTGAATACTTGCTATTTTTTATGACCTAAGAAATATATTCCTACATGTGCTGAAAAATTAAATGTAATTCAAAGAAAGAGCACGGAAAGAAACCTTGAAATACCATTGTGAAGTAGCCAGTAGATTTAGAACTGTGTCCTAGCTGAGTGGTTTAAGTTTTGTTAAAGATATTAAGGTTTAACTGCATTCTTAGAGTATATACATTTTCCAATAAGACAAATGGCAATGAAGTGATGCAAGTAGAAAGAAAAGGTTTGGGGGGGTAACAAAGAGGAAACCCTTAAAATGTTTTGTTCAGAAGAACTCTACAAATATTGTCTTTAGTGAATTGTAAAATTCTGTAAAAAGAAGCACAAATACTAATGGAAGAACAGTTAAATGTAGTACAAACAGTCTCACCTCTTGATATATTTTTCCACAATTGACAATAGTGTAATTTAATATTTCCTTCACTTCTCTCCCCACGTGCCCCAGGTCATGATACATAAATCAGTCTGCATTTGAGATGCAGGTACAAAACAATTTCTTGACTAAGATTCAGAATAATTCCCTATTCATCTCCTTCCACAACAGTTTTAAATGTCTGTTTAGCTGCTCATGTACTTATTGTATGAGGAATGATGGCTACAGAACAGCCTGATGTTTTTAAATTCATCAAGTCTGCCATCTCAAGCAATGGTTGCTTCTGCTGTTGTTTTAATTACAATTCCAAACCTCCTAATACATCAGATTAGTTGACTGGCTTCTTCCGCAAAAAGGAAATAACTCATTTGGGGAGTTAAAATATAACATGCACATTCTCTCACAGTGCAAGAGGAGTTGCTGTGCATATATTGTGATGTTTTCTCAGATTACATTTTGTATCAGAGCAGGTCTACTTCTTGTAAGCGAGTCTGTTACCAAACTAATGTTTTTCTTGGCAAAAGAATTTTTTGTTCTCTGCATAAAACCAAGGGCAGAAGTCTTTATTACCGGATGGCTTAATGGAGGAAAACCAAGATGTTAATCTTTCCAAGAGTTATTTTTCCAGTTACTCTTTAACTATTAAGTGGCCATATGTTCTTAAAAAAAAACGAATGGATCTTGACTTTTTATCCATGCTGATTTAAAAAACACCAAGAAGCTTCATAATTTGTGAATAATGACCATTGAAAATGAGACCTTATTTGGTTTATTAGATGGCAGTCCTATGCACATTGACCTGGAAGTAAGCCCCACTCTTGATTTTAATCTTGCACGCTGCCCAGAGTCACTACTGAATGATGGGTAGCCATATAATTTACTTAAATAAATTTAAAAAACATGTTGAATTTTACCCATTTTTACTGATTCATTAGATTTATATCCCACCATTCCTCCAGAGCTCTACGCAGCATTAATTTAATACTGATTTATTTACTGTATTTATATTCTCACCTTTTCTCTGAGAGCATAAGTTAGCCTTCTTCCCTAATTTTGGTCCAACAATAATCTTGTGAAGTGGATTGGGCAGTGAATGGCCAAGCCACCTTGGGATTTCCATAGCTGAAACCTGGCTCTCCATGTCTGAGACTAAACTGACCATCACACTCTATCCTGGGTAGATTGGCTTCTAAATAAATTTTGCCAATGCAGAAGTGGCCATTCAGAAGTGCCTTTCTTCACAAGCAGCAAAACATAAAGCTTACCTGGTATTCCTTGCAGCCATTTCATCCCTCATCTTTTTTATGTCACTCTTACACTTTTCAATTTCCACTATTTTTAGTCCTTCCACTGTCAACAAAGTAAAACAATAGGAAGGTTACCATGGAGAAGCCGGACGGATCTCATTGTGGTAATTGAATAGAATTTCAAAAGCCACGAAACAGCATGCTGGTGATTCAGCAGCCCCTCAACCTGAAACCTGCTCCTCTACAGGCAGGTACTGCTAATAGAATCAATCATTCAAATAATACAACACTAAGAATAACATTAGAAGTAGCAGAAAAGCAGCTACATTACTATTGTAAGCCACAGCAGCAACATCCAGCCATTCTTCAGCTTCCTTGGACCATTTCTTAGAATAGGAATAAATGAAAGTAGCAAGCTGTGACCCTACTATATTAATACAAAGCACTATATAGTGACAATACTTTGTTGGGCTTCCATTTAGCATCCTGTTAAATGAAAAAAATGGTTCCATGATAGCTCTTTATAATAAGGTGACCAACCGTCCTCCTTTAGGGAGGACAGTCCTCCTTTGTAAGTTCTGTCCTCCCTCGAAAAGTGTCCTCCTACATGTCCTTCTTTTTGATATTTGAAGACTAATCTGCAGGCTTTTTTTCTCATAGAACGCTAAGAACAGCGTTCCGGCACCTTTTTTTGATGGTTTTTTTCAACTTTTGCATGAGCTGTGCTACTCCCCCTATTGGCTTTTGAAAGCCAATAGGAATTGCTGCTGAGCACACCAAAACACCCGGCTGGCAAACTTTGCACATGCAAGTTGTCTGCAGCGAAGGCGAATTGGCAGGAACTTTGCACCTCTCCCTGCTACCCAAGTACACCATCTCCTAGTTAGTTCCGAAGATACCTGGAAGAGACTGGAGTGGTAAGTTTCTCTTGATCTTCAGCTCTGCTAGGGCAATAATGGCTGCGAGCGCAAGAGGCAGGGGCAGTGGGGGTGCTGCGGGCGGGGGTGTGAGGGGTGGCAGCGGCAGGTTGCCCCCTGTGCTGTGGGAGCCGTGGGGCCCTCTCTACACAGGGCTGCGCAGGGTGGGCGGTGGTGCTGGCGGGGCGGCTGCAGGTGGGGTGTGTCGATGGCAGGATGCCCCCCGGGGCTGGAGCCGGCGTGGCTGGTGCCTTGGGAGCCGCGGGGCTTACTCTACATGGCGGGGCAGCAGTGCTGGCGGGGTGGCTGTGAGCGGGGGTGCGGCGGGCGGTTGACCTTCCATGGGCCAGCTTTTACAATATTTTTTTCTTCAATTTATTTGTGTCCTCCTTTTCATTGTAAAAAAGTTGGTCACCTTATTTATATAGAAGCACCAGCTGTGAGACTAAGCCCTGGATCAACTTTTTCTCAGCCTGGTGTCCTAACTAGCATATTAGGAAGATAGACAGAAAGCAATTCCAACTGGTTCTTTTAAGCAGTGGGAAGGAGGAGGAGGAGGAGGAGGGGGAGGGGGAGGAGGAGGAATGGATTATATCATTCAACATGTGATGACAGATATGAAATGATTACATGGAAAACTTCTAGCCAAAAAGCTGTAGTAGTAAATAGCATGTGCTCATAACACCACTTAAGAGTAAGAAAGAATATTCTTGGTACATTCTTGGTTCAGAATCACTTTATGAGGCCCTTTTCCTGTAACGATCCTCCCATACAAACTTGCTGGAACTAACTTTGCACTGGCATTTTAATGTTTATGAACTGCTCAGCAATAAATTGTCAGCCTGACTGGGACATTCATCACACCAGCATTGCATGTTTCCTGCGGGGCAGCACTGGCAACAAACCTCTGCAAACAAGTGGAACAATCTTTATTTTTAGTAGTTTTCAGATACTTCAAGTTCAGTCTCTACAGATAGGCATGGCTTCTTCTCACTTATCAATGGCCACTCATGTGTCTCAGGGACATATGTAAACTAGACACTTCAGATTTTCACTTGGGGATAAACAGGATGTGAGCATACACTGAATTAAAACTCACCAACAGTAATTTGAACTGAAACATTTGTGTTTCAGGTTCACCATATGGAAATACTAGTGGCTCCAAATTTCATTTGTGCAAAAACATACTGAAAACTCATAAAGAAAAACAGTTAATTGAAATCACTGAAGCTATTTAAGACAGAAAGTTTCAGTCCTTTGGGCTCCTTCTATATTTGTCTGTTTCAATAATAATTTTAATGAAATATTCATTCATTCCTGAATTCCATTTCATATTCTGTTTTTCTGCCATACTATTTGCATATGAATTTGAGTCGTTAAAGGAAAAATCCTCCCATCAGAACCTTGTTTTTCACCAAATTCTGATAGTTTTGTTTTTACAAGGCAGTAATTTGCAGACACAAAACTTTATTACATGTAGATTGTGAAAATGATAAAAGAAATTCCAATACTCAAAATTATCATTTTGAAGTATTATAATAGTTGATTTTTTGATGGCACATAATCAATCAAAAAGTGTTGATTACATAAGGGTCTTAACAAGGAGGCTATTAGATACATGTGAATTTGTTATACCACTTCTTTCTTAGTTTTAAAAAATGTATGTCAAGTGCAGGAAATCAGGAGTCCAGACAGTTCAAATAAATATATAGGTTTGTTGTATGCTAAATCTGAACTACTGTCAAAGCAAATTGGTGGAGATAAGAATCAATGGAATTCAAGGTGGGCTGGACTTAGATCTCTTATGGGTGCGAAGGGACTCAAGATTGATGACATGTTTGACCCTTTCCTTGGGCTCAACCTAGTCATCTCCCTCAATATACTTTCTACCTCCTACCCAAAGAACTATATTTTAAATATTCCTAATTTTGCACTTCTAGGATCCAAGATAAAGGTTTTTTTACAACTTTGGAATATTGCAGACTTCCTTCTCAGCAAATCTGCCACTGAATTTAGACAGTACTCACGTCACCTTTGAACATGGCCTTCATTTTGCTTTTCAGAGAAAGAATCACAATTAAAGGATCCTATCTAGAACTGCAGCAGACTTGTCAGGTTATTGAGAAGAATATTGAGAAGAATTACTGTACAGGATTAAAGATTTTATATTAACTTTCTGTACAAATGACGTAAGATGAGAATGAAGAATTTTAGACTTGAAAGGCTGCTTTTTCCCCTTCTCTTTCTCCAATACTATACTACACCCTGCCAAAAAGAAGGCACAAGGTACTGTATGTTCACAAAAAGATTAAAATCTCACATGGATGCAAATTTATTCTAGGCTTCAGCTTGTTAGAGAAAATCTCAAGCTTGGTTTTGAAGAACAGTTGCATAATATGCGCCCTGGTGCTTGGTGCTGCCCAGCTTTCAAATGCCATCTCTCAATATCGATTCTCCATCCAATTCCCAGTCCAATCAAATCTGAAGGCCAAGCAACGGGTGGAAACTAAGCAAGGAGAGAAGCAACCTAGAACTAAGGAGAAACCTCCTGACAGTTAGAACAATTAACCAGTGGAACAACCTGCCTCCAGAAGCGGTGAATGCTCCAACACTGGAAGTTTTTAAGAAGAGACTGGACAGCCATTTGTCCGAAATGGTATAGGGTTTCCTGCCTGAACAGGGGGTTGGACTAGATGACCTCCAAGGTCCCTTCCAATTTTACTATTATTATTATTATTATTATTATTATTATTATTATTATTATTATTATTATTATTATTATTATTATTATTATTAAATATTTCAGAGAAACTGAATGGATGTGGCTGCCCAAGATGATATTGCATCACATTCCTTGAAATGGTTGGCTCAATCCAAATTAGCCTCCCAGTTAGAAAAATATTTAACAACTTATATGCGTCAACATCAAAGAGGTTTTTTTTCTAAAGCTCATTTTGAACAATCTGATTTCATGATAAGATCTGAGAGATTTTATGGAACTCCATTTGGAGGAAGATTGTGTATCTGTGATGCACCAGCAGTTAAAGACATTGCACATATCCTCATTGATTGCAAACTGTATTCTGCAAAAAGGACTGGTTATTTAGAGTATTTAAAAACAACAAAAATATTGGGGCACCCAGGAGCAATTATGTTACTTTCTGCAGGGAATGAATCTGCATATCACTAATAAGGCCATAGTCTTTATATCAAAGGCCATTTTGAAGAGGACAGCTTGTTTAGATCTGACTATAGTGTGACAATTTATCAGAAATATGTCCTATTTTTTTTTGTATTTACTGGTATACATTTTATATATTTAATATGGTCAGATGATTAAACCAATAAAATTTCTATTCTGTTGTACTAGTAGAAAAAAAGAACTCACGTTCCACTCTCTTCTCCAGCATTGCCAGTTGATTAAATACTTCAGTTTTCAGTTCATCAATTTTAAATACCCTGGAGAGGAAATAACAACAGTCCCAAACTTAAGTAAGAAGATATGCATGAAAAACATAATATCTGTTGATGGGAAAATAAATACTGAAAGTCAGTATCTGAATGCACTGAAAGATACTTCAAAAAAAAAAAAACTACTAAAGGTGTCCAGTTACTATCTATTTCCCAGCTAAAGATCAGCTTTTGATATAAAAATCTTACATTCAACCTATGGATCCCCTCCTGTCCATAAAGGTTCCCCATTTAATTCAGATTAGAAGGAAAGATAAGGCTCCTTCATGAGTGACATGTAAAACAATTCTTCTCTGAAATAAATGGAGGAATCAGTATACATGTTAGGAGTGCTTTATTTGCTACATGTAAATATAAACTTATAGTGATATACAGTTTTACACTACTAGAATGGGCAACTGCACATCCATGTTTATTTAAATATAATAAACTGGCCATGATTTGGGCTAATTTTAACTTTATGAAATTGATTCAAGTTAAATGTATATTTTTCCTAAAACTTCATCTATAATGAAGATAATTCTCTTTTCTTTTTCAATATGAAGAAAGTGTATACATTACAACAGGGGAATGTTTCCTTAGCACTGGATTTAAAATGGCTTCATTTCAATCATGGGTGCATATTTTTGTAGCCTTCAACGAATAAATCTTATCCATTTTCCCACTCCAGACTACACTGTTTGAGAACTGCAAGGAAAGAAGGAAGGATGTACAATAGGGCTCTTCAGCACAGCACCATTTCTATTCCTAAACCACCAAAGCATTTTGAAACAAATCTTACGGTATTTTTCAATCTTGCTAGCTTTCAAATAACAAGTAGACCAATGTAAAAATTGCCATTCAGTCAGTGCCCTCTCTTCCAAGTTATGGTAGCTCCTAGAGTAAAAAAACTCCCCTCACTTCTGTCTCACCTAGAAAGCTAAAATACCACTCTGCTAGCCCTCTCCTCCATGTTTTCAATATATGTTACTGGCATTTTCTATATTAATTTGTATTCTACTTGTTATATACAAGCTCAAGGTGGCACAGATCATACTCTGTCCTGTTATTTTCCCTACAACAACCACCCTGTGGGATTGGTTAGGCTGGGGGTGACTTGCCCAGAATCATCCAGTAAGCTTATGCGGCTGTAGATGGATGAGAGTCTGGGCCTCCCCATTTCTAGTTCTGCACCTTTACCACTACAGCACACTAGCTTTTTTTTGTTCAGTTCAAAAAATCTGAGCTGTTGGTTTGAGGGGAAAGTTTTGTGGCTATCCAAATACCTCCTTTTTGCATATGACTGAAAACCAAGATGACGGTCTCACATAAGTTCTAGCTAACGGCCAGGGATTTTCCCACTAGGTACAGCCATGGTAGGGTAGGGCCTCAAATTGTACAGTTAAGTGGTGGCTCCCTGAAACCAGATGTTGGAATGTGAGTGAGAGGGGGCAAGTATCCAGGGACACTCTTTACACAAGCAAAGAAAATAGAGCTGTGCAAGTTCTTGCAGGAATTTAGAAACTGACTAGAACAGCGGTTCTCAACCTATGGGTCGCGACCCCATTTGGGGTCGATCAACCATTTCACGGGGGTCGCCAAGCAAGGCTGTCCGCCATTTTTTTCCCCTTTTCCGGCGGGTGCCTTACTTCCCTTGGGCTGGGCCAGCTGGTGGTCGGCCTGCTCCGTCTCTGCCGCTTGCCAGCTATGCCTCAGCCGGCGCAGGGGGCGGAACCACGCATGTGCGGCGCTCCCTGGCAGGGAAAGTCCTCGACTTATGACCGGTTGGGTAGTCCTCGACTTACGACTGGTTTAGTCCTCGACTTATGACCGGTTTAGTCCTCGACTTACGACCGGTTGGGGGTCGCGGCATTAAAAAGGTTGAGAACCACTGGACTAGAAGATCAGGTTTGCTGATTTGTTTGCCTATGAAATTGACTAGAGAAGCACCAAGTTCAAGTGAGGACAGGCAAGGTGAGGTAAAAGTTTCTGCAATTCTGGAAACGGCCTTGCCTCCAAGTTCCATGGAGCTCCAGGGTTGCAAGTTACACAATGAAATTGCAAATCAGCCCCAGGGCAGGAGTCCTCTGTGGAAGCTCCATAGTTTTTAAAATTATTGTATAGAAAAAGGGTTACCTTGAAAGTTGTTCAACCACCTGCTCCAGCAAATTCTGAAACAATTGTTCTTTCTCTATTAGAAATAAAATATAAAATTATAAGAAAAGTTGATATCATGAAAAAAGAAACCAGTTATATCCCACAATAGACTCTGACAAATAATGTCTTTTGAAAAGATTACAAGCTTTGTCATCCTAACTGTTTGTAAAATGGAAGAGATTAAAAATATATTACTCCAGTATTCCTTCTGTCCTGAGAACTAGAACAATGGATTTTGTACTGTCCTATTCATACCAGGAACTCACTAGGCCACAAGAAGCCATTGAATAGACTGGCAACTCCTTTCAGCGATGGGAGACTCAGTTTTAGTTTCAGATTCCCCCTCCCCTCCATTGTGACAAGTGAATTTTGCATGGCTGGAACATGGGAACGTCTATTCCATGGAATCTGAAGTTCTTTTGACGCTTAAGTAGGCACACTCTTGCACTGCAGTACATCCATTTTGTCTCAACTTTTTCAGAACTCGCTACAACAAAAGAAACAGAAGGAAAATACAAAGCCAAAGCATTTTGCTCACTGCTCTCCTCTGGTGGTAAATATATAATCTCCATGTATGTTTACTCACAGAGTAAGACCTTCAAAATAATAGCATGGAAAGGCCTTTTGTGATAGCGGTGGCCTCTCTGTGCGGGATGGCTCACTCGATGCCTAGTTTTTGATATTGTTTTATTACCAAATGCCTTAATTATATTCTCACATCTGAGACACGGTAGTTACATAATAAGGCCACTTCTAATATTGATTTATTGCATCTTTCAGACAGGTTTTATTTATCTTCCCCTTCTGATGTTGTCTGAAGTACCATATTGCACTGCCAGTTCTGTTAATTCTCAATTTTCCCAACCGAGTCACATTCATATATATTCCATAGTATGGAAATATTTTGCTATTACCTTCTGGGATGCATCTGCAACTCCTAGTTTAGTTACAATTCTGACATTTTCCTAGCAGTTTTCTCATCATGCCTGACCATGCTTACTTTTTCAAGATCAGTCAAGATTCCTTACAGCTAGTCCTTGAGTTACGACCACAATTGAGCCCGAAATTTATGTTGTTAAGTGAGACATTTGTTAAGTGAGTTTTGCCCCATTTTACAACTTTTCTTGCTGTAAGTTGTTAAGTGACGCACAGAAGTTCTTAAGTTAGTAATGCAGTTGTTAAGTGAATCTGGCTTCCCCATTGACTTTGCTTCTCAGAAGGCTGCAAAAGATGATCATATGACCCCTGGGACACTGCAACGGTCATAAATACGAGTCAGTTGCCAAGCATCTGAATTTTGATCATGTGACCATGAGGATGCTCCAAAAGTCATAAGTGTGAAAAACAGTTTTCCAGTGCTATTGTAATTTGAATGGTCACTAAATGAACTCTTGTAAGTCAAGGACTACCTATACATGCTCCCACCTGCTATGTAATGCTAAATAAGTTCAAGAATAATTGTCACAATGCCAATTCTACATTTTTACTCAAAGTACTGTGTTCCAAATCTCTTGTGTTGCTTAGTTCTTCACCTAGCTCTCTCAAAACTATATTTTCATCATCAGATTATTTTCAAAGCCAACAACTTTTCATAATGCTTCTTTTCCACTTTTTCTCTGCTATAAGCCTGCATTTGTTCCTTTTAGCAAAAGCATTGTATTTCACTTGGATTTGGCATCTTTAATAAATAATATTATTCATAGAGTATAAACTGCTATTTCATGGCTGCTATTTATTAGTGAAATGACAGAACTGATTTTTACTAGTCATTTAACTCTTTTTTCATAGGAGAACTAAAACCAAACTTGGTACAAGTTGTTGCATCTTTATATACAGCCTGAATTCAATGGAGCATAATACCCACAAACAATCATAAATACCATGAAAATTATAGCTATTAATAGTTCTCCTATGTATGGGAACTAGTTTAATTTGCCCAAAGTCCTTACTTCTGAATAACCAGCTCATCGGTGTTTTGGGGAGCTCAGTTACACCAATATAATTGAGCTGGTTACAGGGCCTGGGGACTAAAACATATAAAGAATGGTAGCAAGAATTGGGTAGTCTAGAGAAAAGAAGGACTGGAGTTGACATGATAGCACTGTTCCAGTATTTGAGGGGCTGCCACAAAGAAGAGGGGGTCAACTTATTTTCCAAAGCACCAGAAGGCAAGATGAAGAAACAATGGATGGAAACTGATCAAGGAGAGAAGCAACCTGGAATTAAGGAGAAACTTCCTAACAATGAGGACAATGAACCAGTGGAACAGCTTTCCCTCAGAAATTGTGGGTGCTCCATCACTGGAGGCTTTTAAGAAGAAACTGGACAGCCACTTGTCTGGAATAGTATAGGTCTCCTGCTTGAGCAGGGAGTTGGACTAGAAGACCTCCAAGGTCTTTTCCAACTCTGTTCTGTTATTAATTATTTTGGATGGTTATACAATGACCCTCTAATAATTCTGGAGAAAAATCTGTTACAATGTTCCACGATGCTGATATTCTCCAGTTTGCCCAATATAATTATGCCCACGTTGGCAATTTATTGTATACATTCCCTCAGTTTGATTTTAAGTTTGGAAAATATACAGTAATTGTATTAGAGGTTAGCAGTCATTCTGTCTTGTCTACCACTCCAAATCTGACACTGATTTTTTCTCACCACGAGCAGCATCGTTTAGCCCATTTCTTGATGGGGTATAGACTCTGTTCTTGTTACAAAAACAGTACATCAGTCAACAAAGTTATTCTCCTAGGCAGGATTTACTGCATAGTGAGGGAATCTGTTCTGTTCATGTACATCATCAGTAGAAAGAGTTATTTCTTCTAAAATGTATTGATTCTTCCTCTTACATCTCATTTTGTAGAATCTACTGGAAATATTACTCTAAAACCGATACAGAAGGGTGCTTCCATATCTGATGTTGCATCGGGCCCTCTCATTCCTTAAACAATCCTGAAAATAATATTTCATCTATTTATCCTTATGTGACAGAATTTTTCAAAAAAATCAAGCCCAATGCAACTGTCACTGTTCAGGTTTTTGAAGTTATTGCCACAATATTCAAATGCACAGATTTTGCTGGTAGTGTTAAAAGTTTCCAGTACAGCTATTTTGGGGTGATTATCTTAAAAAGTTATATGGCTAAGAGTGTCTGATGCAGCATTTTAACATACATAAAACCTTTAAAAGATGTATATATATTGAGATAGAATGAGGATATCTGGAGATGGTTACGGGAAACCAATTGAAGTGCTGCTTTTAAAAAAAATAGTTTTATGACTTATGTTTTATACTTAATTTTATTGTTGTGAACTGCCCAGAAGTGTTTAAGGTGGGTGGCTATACAATATTTTAAACAAACAAACAAACAAACAAAATAAATTTATTGAAATCTGCCAAAAAGACAATCTGGCCCTATATATCTACCCAGCATTAGCTGGGACTACAGAAAATCCAGGTTTATTCCTAAAGTGGAGAAAAGCAGTATACTAGATTTCCGATATACAAAAGTTCAGGCTATTTCTGAACCCCTGCAGTAATACAAATTGATCTTTATTTAACTGTTGCAGTTAAATAAACTGTTGGAAGTGATATTTCAGAATATTTTGTGCATTTTCTTATTCATCAGGGTTTGAGGAATCAAGAAAAGTCACAGACCAAAGGTGTTAATAAACTGTCTCCAATAGTGGCTTGCCAGATGATCTGGGAAACTTAACAGAAACTGCTGAAGCCAATTATTTAGTAGTAAAAATAAATCTGTGGTTCCTACATATTGTTCACAGATGAATAAACATTCCCTCAAGTTAAACTCACTTCCTGGTGATTTAATAGACACATCCATGATTTGCCACTGTCATTTTAAATGATGTTCCTTCCACTTTCCTAATCTAGCCTACAGCTCTGAGATTCCAATTGTTTTTTTCTTTTCTTTAAAGAAAATGTGGCATGTGCTATAAAACAATTCAGTCTGTAATGTTAACAGCCACAATGCATGAACTTAATGTAAAGACAAAATTACGTGTGTGCATGTGTGTGCATGTGAGCATTGCTTTTAAACACTAGGATTTGAATACAAGGTCCTTATATAAAGACAAAATTAATAGCCATTTTTCTGTGTATTTCATAAATACATGTATTTTAGATTTTCTGCAAGTTGGGAACCCTTAAAACATAATACTTCAGATTAATCAAATTATGGATCAGTACCGATATATACACATTATCTTTAGCAACGCATTTTCCATGAAAAGTTACTATTTTAAATACAGTAACTGTAATATTTAGACCTACTATCACGAAGCAAGAAATACTATTATGCAGAAATTGTTGAAATCAATAAATAACTAAATGCTTACGTGAGGAGTTAAACTCATTGATTATGTACTTTAAAGCATGCGTTCATTCAAACTCATTTTCTGATATATACTGTATATATAAAATATAATATATTATTATCTTTCCAAGTTAGCATTTTTGCAAAGATTCATCTGTGATGATGAATGTGAAGAATCATAGAAAGGTTTAAGCTAAAGCAAAACTTCTGAATAGATTCATCCTGTGCAAGAGATTGGTTATTTACTGTATTTCAACAAAGCAAAACAAAATAATAAACAGCAAGATTAGCTCAAGCAAATGGCTTTCATCTATTCAAAAAGAAAGCAGTTCCCTACTTTTGTTAGCAATCCAAGAACTGAACCAGAACAAGAAGTGCTTTTAATTAAAAGTAGCATAAAAGATTTCTTTCTGCTTACCATCCACCAGACACAGAACGATATAAAAGGCCAAACCAAGAATAAATTGTATCCCACATTCACTGCTTTTCAGTATTTGGCACTGCCTGAAGCTTACATGAGCATGACCAAGTCCTATAAAAACAATCCAGTTTAAAAAAAAGGGGGGGGGGAGGGGGAATCCCTGCCCTAGATATTGTACTTTCTGTCCCTCTCATTTTCTAAATTTACGTGCAAAGCTTAAAGTTATTTACCCACAAGGTACGTGCATTGAATTAAATGAGACTTACTCCTAGGT